TTATGTTAACATTCCATTCACCGATGCTATAAAACAAATGCCAACTTATGCTAAATTTCACAAAGACATCTTGAGTGATAAAAGAGAAGTTGGCTTTGCGGAAACGATTTATATGCCGGAAAATTTTAGTGCAATTATTCATAATAAGTTGCCCACTAAGCTTAAAGATCCCGATAGTTTTTCTATTCCATGTGATATTGGTGAAATGGTGATTGATCGTGCTTTGTGTGATCTATGTGCTAGCTAGCATAAGCTTGATGCCCCTATCTATGTGCAAAAGACTTGGCCTAGGAGAGTTAAAACCCACTAACATTTCCCTTCAATTATCTAATCGTTCAGTTAAGATGTCTTTGGGAAAATTATTAGAAGATGTCGCCCTTAAGGTGGGTAAACTTTACATTCCGATGGATTTTATTGTGCTTGACATGGATGAAGACTTGAATGTCCCCATAATTATAGGTAGTCCTTTCTTAGCTACGGAGGGGCAATAATTGATGTGAAAGAAGGAAAATTGTCTTTGCTTGTTGGAAAAGAGAAAGTGGAATTTAAATTGAACCAAGTTATGAAATGTCCTTCCAACATGGATGATTGTATGAGGATTTATATTGTTGAAATTGTTATTCATGAATGCATACAATGGCGTTTGCATAATACGAATGATTCTCTTGAGTTTGAACTTGAAAGCAAAGATAGGTTTTGTAATGAAGACATGGAAATAGAGGCAATTAAGGATATTCTTGACTGCACTACCATGGACAAGGAAGAAGCAAAGCTTGTTATTGGAGAAGAAGAAGTAAAAAAAAGAGCTCATGATGACAATGGCGAGGAATGTCCAAGTGTAGAGCTAAATAAAACCTCTACCATCCAACTTAAGGTATGAGTTTCTTGGTCCATTTTCGACTTTTTTGGTCATTGTTAATGCATCTTCGGATGAGGTTCAAACCTCAAAATTTTTAAATGTCTTGAGGATGCATCGCAAACTTTGGGATATAAAATTGATGATTTGAAAGGTATAAGTGCAACGCTTTGCATGCATCAAATATCATTGGAGGATGATGCTAAGCCACAATTAAAATACAAAGAAAGCTTAATCCTCCAATGCTTGAAGTGGTTAAGAAGGAAGTTGTTAAACTACTTGTCGCCGGTATCAGTTATCTTATTTTTAATAGAAGGTGGGTGGCACTAGTGCAAGTAGTCCCTAAAAAGGGAGGGATGATGGTGATAAAAATAGAAAAAGTGAGCTCATCCCTTTTAGAATTATAACCGGTTGGAGGATGTGTATAGACTATCGTAGGCTAAACACATCCACCAAAAAGGACCACTTCCCATTAGGGCTGGCAATCCCTGATGTAACACCCTATAGATTCCTTCCCTTTAAAATACATGTTTTGCTCTTTTAAAATACGAATTAGAAAAATCTAAGACATTACCGCTAACGTGAAAATGGCTAAGGCAAATATCAAAGACACACAGTGGAAGACTCTTTTCAAAACCTTTCAAAACAACTCAACTTAAAAGTAAAACTAAACGAAAGTAAAGTAAAACCAAAGTCATACGTAATCAACCTACAACTTGGAACCATTGTAGACCCTTATCAAAATCAAACAAATACTTAAAAATCTTTGCGTTAGTCTCACAAGCATAATATATAATAATAATTAAAGCAATAAACCACATCATAATCTTATGGAAATTAAGCATGATTCGCTCTTCACTCATGCCCATCATGAATATGCTTCATCACCTGAAAAGCTTCTCTCTACTTGTCCCCACTACTCTCCATTAGAAATGGGTCGTCGTAGGGCCAAGGTAAAGACAAGGCCAAACAAACATACAAACATACCATCAGCAAAGATGAAGTACATAAACGTAATAACATGCTTTCATCCTATCAATCACACAACTTACCTAATTGCACCTGTAACAAGCATTTGAGACACTCAACAAATAACTACACAAATAACAATTTTCATTTAAATTTGATTACGCATTGAACGGGTTTCCAACCAAATCCCTGCCCAAAATAAATTGAGGTAAACTACACCGGAAATATAACCGGGTAGGCAACTGTCACATGAAGTGACGGACATCCTGCACATAATAATAATAAAAGGAAAATATAGCGTCCTATACTCCCAGTAGAAGTTATGGTTAAATATAAAACCCCATAACATCCCCATATGTTTATACTCAAGGTATATACGTTCCAAGAGTTTTGGTGTGTAATCTCTTTCACTTTACGTTGTTTTACATATTATTCAACTTGGTGATGACTCTCAAATCATAACACAGCCAAACATTATAATTATACAAGCAATCAATCATACCAAATCAATTCTTGAATAATTAGTGACCACATAACTTTAAATGTTGAATCCTTTATAATCCACCTCGGTGTTAAAGACACCTTAAACGCATAATGCGCCGCAAATCCTATCCCTCGGTGTTAGAAACACCTTAAGTGCACATGGGCGCCGTAATATAATTTATCCATGTCTACTAAGTCACTTAATAGCTCAATTCTAATGCTTAAAGCATCAATAAAAATTATATGAACCATAATAAAATTCCCTTTTAATATTCCAAACAAAAATAAACATTTAGTTTAATTAAACATGTTTCCTATCACACCAATAATAAAAGCGTGGTTCATATTTAACATGCCAATATAATTATTTCCAATCACTTATCCATCACAAATAATCCATGCTTCATAATTCAATCACCCACATCAACGAAATAACAAATTCCAATCAAATCCTATCATGATGCTACTTGGAATTAATTATTCAAAGTCTAGTATGTTCCTACATTCTCAAATAAATACCAAGTACGCGAACGTATCTTGAATACGATCTCAAATTCTCCACGACTACACAAAATCACTCACTTGGAAATCTCCTATAATCCAAAATTAAAAAGAGGCATTAATATCTACTCTACACAAATTTCCAACACTATATACACTCCTTAATTCACTCATAAATTATTTAAAACAAGTTAAAATTTAATTTTAAAACCCTTACTTTAATCCTAATGAATGGGTAGTCAAAATTCCTTCAAGACACTTACGGTGTGTTTGGATTGAAGGAAATGGAGGGAAAGGAAGGGAAGAGAAATAGAGAGATGGAGTATCTTTCATTTGGATAGCAAATAAGGAAGGGAGGGAATTGGAGGGGAGAGAAATGGAATGATTAAATTGTAGAAAATTTATCCCTCCAACAATGGAGAGATTTGGAAGGAAAACTCACCATTCTTCCCTCCCCTTCCTTTCCCTCCCCTCCTCTTCTCCTCCCTCCCCTTCTTTTCCTTCCCCTTTCTTTATCCAAACAAATTGTTAATTATGGCTTACTAACAAAATTTTCAGCTTTATTAAATCATCAAAACTTGTTGTAAATATGTTTTAAAACACATATTTAAATAATTTAAACCACCCACAATCAATATGCAATAATTTAGAAAGCTAAGGTTTTCAACTTGGGGCTTTTTGATTCAAAATCAAATTTGAAAATTTACTTACATTATACTTATAATCAAACATCATAAAAATCATCACCAAACCCAAAATTCAGAGAAAACAAGAATCGGCTCGACTGCAATCTTACACGGACGTACCAGGGTAAGCACAGGCATGCCGCCTAAGTAGCTTGCATGGACGTATAGAAATACTGCACGGACGTGCCGAGTCTGCACGGCCATGCTGGATGGGGAGAACAGAATCAGTAGTTCTTGATTCTAACCTAGGCATCATGCACGGACGTGCACATCTGGGGCATAACCAACCTGCATTCAAGAACACCTCTACACGGACAACAAGAGTTAGCACGGCCGTGCAGGGTATTTCTTGGCCTTGTTTTCCCTTCTTTCTTTGATCTTGCTTCTCTATTCTTCATTTTTGCTTCGCTTCTTTTCCTCATTGATTAAAGTTCCTTGCATACATCCCAAGGTGCTTTGTAGTGCATTATTTGGACCTAAAATGTCATCAAAAACAATAACAACCCCATGAAGCACGTAATACACAAAAATGCATAAAAATAGAGTGAATAATGAACTAAGGCATCAATTCCTCATATATTCAATGTTAAAAACCACTCTATGATCATACAAATTAGCAAGCTATCACCACGTCACTATTTAAAGTATATGCGTGCTATGAAATTTTGTCATTCCTAATTTAACAAAATAAAACTAGTGTGTACCCCAGGCGATACACCGGGTTTTACTTTGAATATCAACAAATATTATTTGACCTATAAAATATCAACTACTTGTATATAATTAAAATAAGAGTGAACAATAAGGATTGTTGTGTGATTAAAATATCAACAAATTGAGCATTCTGAGAAGGATTGTTGTGTGATTTCTTAGGACAGTAAGAAGGAGAAGTTAGGGTGGGGACGATGGCTTAGGGCTTCACCAAGAAAAGGCAAACTGAAAAAAGAGGAAGAACTTGAGGCTGTGCTTGCATGCCGTAAGAGGCTTTTCGACATCAAGGAGGATGAGGGTCAAGATGAGGTTGTAGTGGATCAAGTTAAGCCTTTGAGAGAGAAGGGGGATATGGAGGAGGAAGTTACCAGTCCTGTTTTACTAATTGCATATGAAGGGAGAAGTGCTGCAGAGGAGGGTACCGCATTGCTAAATTTCCATTTAGTAGCTGGAGAAAAGAGGGATAAGGGGGAAGAGGGTGTTATAAAGGAGTTGAGTGGGGCGCTTGGTGAGGGGGGTGAGAGGGCGGAGGTGTCTGGTAAAGAAACAGGGGAGTTTGCTGATCCAAAAAAGGGTGTGGGAGGGTCAAAAACTTGGAGGAAATTTGCTAGGAAGAATGATGGGTTTGATTGCCATATGAATACTACTGATGAGGTTTCGTTGGGAAAAAGAAATAGAGAGAAAGCTGATATGGAAGAAGAGGGGGTTTTGACTAGGAAGAAAGCTTTGGCAGACTATAATAATCACGGATTGCGGTTGGGGGAGGCTTGCGCTGAGCAGCCCCGCCCAGCTCAATGAGTGTTTTGAGCATTAACTGTAGAGGGCTGGGCAACACCTCTGCAGTTAGTAACCTTCGAAATTTAATTCGAAAGGAGGCCCCGTCTCTGGTATTCTTGATGGAGACGAAGTTGAGTAGTGGAGAGATGTCGAAAATTAAAGCTAAATTTCCGGGCTATGAGGGGCTTGCGGTTGATAGCTGTGGGCGCTCGGGGGGAGTGGCATTGCTATGGTTAAAAGAGTTGGAGGTCGTTCTTCGCTCTATGTCTATCCACCACATAAATCTGCTTGTGAAGAGGGGTATTGGTGATTTGGAGTGGCGTTGTACGGGGTTTTACGGTTGGCCAGAAGTACAGAACTGACACTTATCTTGGAAGTTGTTGCTAGAGTTAGCGGGTGATGGGGATGATTCGTGGGTGTGCTTAGGAGATTTTAACGAAATATTGTTAGAATCTGAGAAGAAGGGAGGGAGGGATAGGGCCCTATGGCAGATGGACAATTTTAGAAACGTGGTGGATGCTTATAACCTCAGGATGTTCCGCACTCAGGCTACTCTTTTACTTATGACAACAGCCAAATTGGAGACGACAGGCTTGATAGAGCACTCGCAAATAGTTCATGGATGGGGTTGTTCCCGCAAGTTGTCCTCTTGAATCTTGAGCGAGAATGGTCGGACCACGCTTTGATTAAATTAATGGTGCGTGGTGATGATAATTTAGCTGCTAAAGGGGAGCGAGTGTTTCGCTTTGAACAGGTGTGGACTGAAAATGATAGCTGTGAAGGAGTGGTTTGGCACGCTTGGGAGAATGGTGGGGTTACGGTGGAGAGCAGGATAGCGTCTTGTGGGATGGAGTTGCGTTCTTGGAGTGATAAGGAGTTTGGGGCGATCTTTAAGGAGTTAAGGAAAAAAAGAAAGAGATTGGGAGTGCTTAATAGAGGGGGTCGGTCAGTCGCACAAGTCAACGAGAGGAGAAAAATTGTGAAAGATATTGCTCAGCTCTTGCACGTGGAGGAGGGGTATTGGAGGCAACGTTCAAGGGCTTTATGGTTGGTTTCAGGGGATCGCAACACCAACTTTTTCCACAGGAAGGCATCGCAAAGAAGTGCAAAAAATAAGATCTTCGGCTTGCTGACAGATGATGGTTTGAGACATGAGGGCCATGAGGCTGTGGAAAAGGTAGCATTTTCTTATTTTAAGAAACTTTTTGCTACTGATTTTCCGGACTAGTTAGAGGAGGCTTTATCGGGAATTGATCGTAGAGTAACCGAAGAGATGAACGAGAAGCTCTGTTCGAATTTTACAGCTGAAGAGATGTTTATTACGTTGAAACAAATGCACCCGTTAAAGACACCAGGGGCGGATGGTATGTGTCTCCTCTTTTTTCAAACTTATTGGCACATTGTTGGACCAGAAATCACTAATTTTGTATTGAGTATTCTGCGACGGGGAGTGATTCCGACATATATTAATAAAACATTTATTGTGCTGATCCCTAAGAAAAAAGAGCCAGACAAAATGACGGAATATAGACCAATTAGTTTGTGTAATGTTGTTTATAAGTTGGTCACGAAATTCTTAGCTAACCGTCTAAAGCTATTTCTTTCGGATATTACCTCAATTAACCAGAGTGCTTTTACGCCAGGAAGATTGATTACTGATAATATTTTGGTGGCGTTTGAGGTGTTTCATCACATGAAAACATCGAGTAGTGATAAGGGTTCTCTAGCTCTGAAATTAGACATGGCAAAGGAATATGATAGGGTTGAGTGGGACTTTTTGAAGGCTGTTATGCAGAAATTGGGGTTTGCTGAGTTTTGGATTGATCGGGTTATGCACTGTGTTTCTTCTGTTTCTTTTTTAGTGTTGATGAATGGGGCACCTTCTGGGGAGTTTACTCCAACTAGGGGTTTGTGGCAAGGTGATCCTTTATCCCCATATCTGTTTATTTTATGTGCTGAGGCTTTTCTGGATTGTTAAATAGGGAAGTGGCTAGAGGCGCCCTAAAGGGAATTAAAGTAGCTTCGTCGGCTCCTCCAATTTCTCATTTATTATTTGCGGATGATAGTATCATTTTTTCTGGTGCAAATGCGGAGGAGGTGGCTACTATTATCCAGGTCCTTCATACTTATGAGTCTGCTTCAGGCCAATTGGTTAATTTCGATAAGACGACGGTGTCTTTTAGCAAGGGTGTCTCGGAGGATATGAGGGTGGCTTTAGCTGGTATTCTGGGGGTGCGAATGGTGGATATTCATGATAAGTATTTGGGTCTTCCTACGGTTGTAGGGAGGTCTAAGAGGGTGCTTACTAAGGGCATCCAGGATAAGCTTTGGAAAAATCTACAAGGGTGCAAATGAGGGTTTCTATCAAAGGCGGGTCGTGAAGTTTTGATTAAGGCGGTGGCCCAATCTATTCCGACCTACGCGATGAGTGTGTTTGTAGACACCTAAAAATGTCTCCCCAAAACCAAGCCCTATGATGAACAACCTTTCACCGCCATTATTGGCCGGGTTGAGTATTTAATCTTGGAGTGCTTAAATCCATATTTCCATTTCATAAACCAACTCAATTCCTAGCCCATTTCCCCAAACCATAATTTATTTTCCTCTTTTCGTGCCTTTAAACCTAAAATAATTCATTTCGTGTCCTTTAAAATCATTCATTTCGTGTCCTTTTTATAAAAACGTTTAATCTAGTTTATTTTGGTCCAATGATTTAATATTTGGATGGGGTTTGAAAAGATCTTTCCAACGATATATTATAAGCCCTAATCCGAGTTATAACGAATAAGTTATGGCCAAAATATTAAACTGAGCCCAAACTGAACCTAAGCCCACCTTACCTACGACCCAATGATCATGTGGAGGGTCCAAATGATTTAATCCAATTCCTAAACCAATTAGGATTAATTAGAAACTTCTATAAGTTTCTAAAAGATCTTAATTATCGTTTTTGAAAAGATAAGATTAAAGAGTTTGAAATTGAATAAAACTCCTTTCTTTGAAAATCCTATTTATATCCGAATTGAAAGACGTCCAAGGAGTTCATACTTAACCTGAGGTTCCGTCCTTAAACCAAGGCGTGAAAGGTATAATTAACTGAGGGTTTGGACCAAATCAAATCTACCTTTATTTAATTTAATTTTCATTTGATTTATATTTTAATTGAAGTTACTAACAGTTTATTCATGATGTAGCAATTTAAAGGAACGCGCGAAATGTGAGTAATTAATTAATTTAATTACTCTCATTTTATTTTAATATTGCTAGTATCATGATTAGGTTAATTTTATATTTGATTTGACTAACGCTATTATTGTTAAATTGCTTCCAATATTAATGTTTATTCTATTATATTTTTTATGATCACCATATTGCATGTTTAAAGGGAATATGTAATTGAAAATCACGCCTAATAAGATAATTTGGACAACCGATTTAGGTTCCTTTTTAATCTTTTTAATTAATTCAAGTGATCACAAATATTTTAGAATTATGTGTTGCATTAATATTAAACCAATTTATCTTAATAATAGTTTGGAGCAAATTGAATCTTTGTTTGTATGCCTTTGAGATCGCATGAATCATTTTTCACTATAAGAATCGAGTAGAGGCCAATACGGGCGAATGTGACTCCATGACTCACTTCGTACCATCATCCCCGATCCTCCTTTTGTGGTTCCGAACCATATGGAGTTAGTAATCTCATGGATTATGAATGGAGTGTAACCTTCATGGGTCAATCGTTGTTGCTTATCGTTGTCCCTTATTCGTGGTTGTCTTTTATGATCCGTGAACGGTTTACAAGTTCCTTAAAAACTTGTTGGTGGCTCCCTACTTTATTTGTCCCTAATCGTATACGTCAATTCCCACTTCCTAAGAGTGCCAAGCATATTCACACATGCTTTTAACGTAGGCGCACATCGAGCGACGCCTATAATTTGGCGACTCCACTGGGGAGGATTCTTGGTTATTTAACGATTTGAGTGATCGGTATTTAATTGAGATGAGTGGATGAGACTTGAAAGATTCTTGAAAAATATTCCCGTGATTTAATTGGCATTGTCACATATGCATATGCATTTTAGCTTACCTATTTTGCCACAATAGTACGTGTTCTATGTATGTGGCTAGCCCGGGGGATTTATGCTCTATCAACCCGAAAACGCTCATGACAATAAGGGTTCATCCAAGTTTTTAAATCCATCCAAACCATGGAGTCGAGTTCGATTTCATCACGAACTCGCGGAGCTGCCCGTTGGCATACACCCTCAAGGGAGGCTGCCTTGCTAACACGTCCAAACTCTAAACCATGGTAACCTTTGACACCCAAAAGCTTGACCATAGTCGAACATAGAACTTGACTTTAGGTTGCGAACTTCATTGCATCATGCGTGACAATATGCTTATATGTGCATTTTTTTATCGAATTTTTTTAATTATTTTTTTTCTCTTATCAAACCCTTTTTATTTTTTTTTAAGAGTCGTCATAGATTTTTTTTTTTAAATTTGAGTCAACTCGGATTTTTATTCCCTTATATTGCATAAGAGTCAACTTGTTTTGGTCATAGCCGGAGTTCTAGAAAGAGTTACGTGTCGTGCAACCAGTGGATCTGTAGCCCCGAGTTTTATCTTTCATTTGGTGCTGGTTTTGTCCTAATCAGAGTCACAGATCAAAAGTTAAAATCGATATACTACAACCTGTCCAGTTTAGGTGTCTTTTTAGCATTATAACTCTTCTAGATTCCTAGTCCTCTTCCTAGTTTCTTGTGATCGATTTTTGTGCTAACTTTAACATGTGTTCTTTGTCTTTGATTGTGGTTGATCTTATTTATGACTAACGATTGAAAATGGACCGATTTCACCTAGTAAATTGCATAAACATTAAAATTGGACAAAAGTAATCAAGTTAGTTTGTCTTTTAGTCTTCCGTGCTATTTGGTCATTGGGTCCTTTGTTTTTCACAACGTCCTCATGTCTAGCCATGCGATCATACCGTGAGTCTTAATATACTCACCTAATCACACATGTTGAGTCATTGCACACACTTTGTCCTCGAGTAATGCACTATATTGTTTATGATCATATACTAGGACCATGCATGCATCGTTTTCCGTCATAATAGGAATGAGTGGAGTATTTCCCATCAGTTTTCAAAATCGTTTCATACACTCTTCCTTTTCAATCCGAGTATTGAGTGAATGAATTAAGTGAGTTCTTCTTTACACAATATTTGAGTCTAAAATCACAAGGCAATAGTTGGAAGAATAAGGGGAACGTCACTCCTTCCTTCTTTCCTTCCAATCAAAGCATCAACAACAAGAAACTGTTTTCCGCAGTAGGCGGCAAGAAGTAACTCATAAACAGCCATGAAGACAAATCACGATTCAAGATTCTCACCAAGATTTTATGTTTTCTTCTTCTTTTGTTTCAAACCGTTCCCCCTAAAAAGTCTAGCATAGGTTCTCCTTATCCATGTGTCTATGTGTCACATTTCTTACCTTCTTCATAAATGAGCATCTCTTTCTTACATTCGATCATGTTATTAAAAGAAAAAAAAATCAATTACCGAACTAAACACAAGGTACACCAATGATTTCAGGCACCTTTGCAACCCTGTCATTCCCTGTTAACCGTTCAATCACATTCCATTTCTTCATCAACCACTTTGAGCTTCGTCTAACGTTTTGCCTTCATTTCTTCAACCCACATTCACTTAACCCTGGGATTGGAAGATGTGTAATTGTATAACATTCAAAAAGCAAGTAAAAAAAAGCAGCAAAGCAACAATAAAACAATGTCTAAAGGCAAGTGTTCCAATGTCTTTGATATGAACATGTCTTAAATTGTGTCTCTCATCGAGTGCTTGGTACCGTGCGTGAGAAACATGAATGCTAAGTGAGTGATGGACCGCATGATCTAAGATTGCCTACATTGATTCACAAGAATGGAAAAAAGAAAAATGAAAAAAAAAAAGAAAAAGAAATTCAAAACAAAAAAAATATATATGAAAAATAAAACTTGCAAAGTCTAATACACAATTGCATATCTTGGGGGCTTCTCTCGGGTCTTGAGCCTTTTACCCCTTTCTTCTTTAAACCTTCAGCTTATCCACATTACAACCCTTGAAATACCTCTTTGAGGTGTACACACACTTGTGCAAAGTTCAGTTAGAGCTACGTTGGCTTGATTCCTAACGGATACGTAGGCAACCTCACATCGAGGTGCGGCCACATTCACATTCACATTCATATTCATATTCATATCCATGCATGATCGAGTCAAAGAATATCCAATGCTTACCCCTACCCATTTAGAGCTAGACTTGGGGGCTTGAACCCACGTCATTTAGCCTACCCAGCCTAAAGAGTCATCATCTTTGATTCTTCTCACATATATTTCCATCACCATAACCTTTGCAGCCAGCCTTAGTATCACATTCACACACTTCACTCACACATCCATATCCATATCAATCATCCTTCTCTTTAAGAGCCCTTTATCATGAAATCGTTTTTCAACACTGTGCATGTTTCATCATATTTAAAGACAACATTCATTAGAAGAAACATTGTATACTTGCTTAGCTTCCAGACCTGAGCAATATTCATTGTTTCATGCATCGCATAATGTGCTGAGAAAATTTATATATCAATGATTTTTAATCATATAAAGCATATCGTGCTTAGCTCCTTGACCTAAGCAACGTTCATTATGCAATAATCACTTCATCTATATACGTGCTTAGCTTTCAAACCTAAGTGACGCTCAAGATCGTTTCTTTACACCACATATGATGCTTAGCTCCATGACCTAAGTTCATTCATCTATCGTGTCACATGATGGACATGCATCATGCATACATTATTTTCAAGACAAGGAATTCAATCCGTACGATTCATTTCGTCTTGCTCAACAAGGAAGTTCAAAAATTCTTCCCTTTTTCATGTCTTTTCTTTTAAGGAAGTTCAAAAAACTTTTTCAAAATTTTCTTATCGAGGGAAGTTCGAAAACAAAACTTCATTTTTCGGGAGAAAGTCGGTACCCTCCACTAGTATCATGACAAAAGTGATGGAAAATTTTTGCTTTTTCATTTTCGGTTGCTTGTGTCTGCACACACACACTCAAACTATACACACACAATCACAAGTCATACTCATGTCATGTCATGTCGTGTCAAGTCTAACTTGGTCAAGTCAGTTGGTCAAGTCAATCATAGTCCATACGAGTCCCTTGGCAAATTTTATTTTGTAGGTCTCAATTACAGCCCACGTCCGGGGACAAGCGGACCATCTACAGCCCACATCCGGGGACAAGCGGACTATCTACAGCCCACGTCCGGGGACAAGCGGACCATC